AAATTAACTAAAGATGAACTTAATAAAATGATGATAAAATAACTGATAACAAAATTTTATTTTTATATAAATGGATACCCCACAAGCTCAAAATTTACCACGAATCATAACAAGGGAGGAAATGATAAAAATGATGCAAGAACGAATTAAAAACAACAAACCACGAAAACCGAGAAGATGCGGTTATGCAGTAATAATGGAAAGAAGAACCCAGAAGGGTTCGGCGTCTCGAAGAGACGTTGTCGAAGAGGAATAAAAATTAAATTTGGATTGAGTTTAAAAATTCATCTTTATTAAATTCATCTCTTCCAATCAATTTATTTATTCTATTAAATTCTTTTATTTTTGCTTCACTCAGTTTAAGGATTGAACGGTAAGTTTTTAATTTTTCGATTATTTCTTTCCTCTCTTTATCGTTTTCAATTACTTTAGTTTTATGGGCATCAGCCCCGCCGCATTGCAGCTTCTTTTTGTAATAGCATATTTTTGATTTAATTCTGTTTAGTTTCTTTTTATATTCATCGTCTGGACTCTGAATCTTAATTGAATCAGGACTCTTGGATGCTTCGTTGTCACTCATTTCTTACGAAATAAAAAATTAAATATTATTTAAATATAATGGAGTAATAAAATAAATCGGAATTTCTATTAATTTATTGTTAACCTCAACTAATGCATTGCCGTTAATATATCTAACAAATTCAGCTATTGTGTCAAATCTTCGTCTTCTTTTTGTCATTGATTTATCAGTTTTTCCATAATCGAGATGAATCAAAACTTTATCCTCTTGTTTAAAATTCATGAGCCCCGAATTAATTTGTTCACGTTTAACATCATTTAACCTTTCCATTTGCTTTCTAATATATTCCCATTCTTTTGAAATATCATTTTTCATTTTCACTGGTTTCATGTTTATAGTTCTATGCCATGTATTATTGTAATAATATACTAACTGCTGTATGTTGGAGTCATGATTTCCATCCCAGTATATCTGACCGTTAACTCCTAACGCATCTCTAAGAGTTCTCATTACCGCATCAACTATTTTATTATGAAACGTATATGGAGAAGATGAGAAGTAAAAATTAATTTGTGGGAAATAATGAGCCATAGCTGCCTGAAATCCTTTATCACCATCACCCCTTATATTATCTACTCTTTCATGATCTAGTAAGTATTGAATAGCTCTTCTTGTTTCCTGTTCTGTTTTCCCTTTCACCGGAATGCAATATAAATATCTAGTGTTAATGTTAATGGCAAATAAATAAGTAACGTTTCCTTTTGAATATTCTAAATGATCTATTTCGTATGAATATGGATATGGAGCAAATGAAGGGCGACTAAATTTTTCCTTTAACGGTTGAATTTTCGGGTCAGTTGGTTTATTTAATATCTTGAAATCCTTTTTAAAATCTTTTTGCTTCTTTAATGTTTGAAATGGATATAATAAAGTGAATGATGAAGGATTAACTGAAGGAGGAGGAGGTACTGTCGTTGGAGGTTTTGGTATTGCAAGTGGTTTAATTTTATCTGCTTTGATTTTGGATGATGAAGTTTTAGTTGTTGATTTTCCTTTCATTAATTCTGGATGTATTCTATTCATTTGTTTTAAATATGCTGTATATAAAGGTTTGATATACTTTCCCGCTTCGAGTTTATGTTGAAGGATGAATTCCAAAAGTTGATCTTCATTTAAAAGTCGGGCTGAATATGGTTTAACTAATGAATCATAAATTAAAGCTTGTGCTTCATTTATGGTCTGAAGGACCTGGGTGTTTTGCACCTTTAGCTGTTGAACATTTGCTACTTTCTCTTTTGGTGTTGTTTTCGGCCTTTTCTTCTTTTGTTTTTGTTCCTTTGGCTTTTGCGGCTCAGGATTATATAATTTATATAATTCATCAATATCTTCTTCTGTTAATACTTTATTTTTGAAATCTTTCAACTGTTTAAGTTGTGATTTAGTTTTTCCCTTTGTATATTCATTATTTTTAATTTTGTCTTTAATTTCAGAAATTATTTTATCATGATATTTCAAAATTTCATTTTTATAATATGGATAATAATAATCCATATCATCACCCATTATATTTTTATTGTGTTTTTGGAGATATGATTTTAATTCATAATAATTAAGAAAATTTTGATTAAGTACTAAATCATCAATTAAATTTTCTAAATCTGCGTTATCCATTTATATAAAAATAAAATAAATGTTTTAAGGGTGCCCACCTCTTTGAATCATAGTATCAAAACCATTATTTACATATTGAATCGCATCATTAACGGTTCCTCCTTCTAAAACGGTATCAAATGGTGGAGTCCAGATTTCCTGATGATGATCATAAAATCCAGCAAAATTAACCGTATTATTAAGTAAAATATGAATCTCAGCGGTATATCTTCTATCTAAATTTGGATGCCTTATATGTATACCATTACTGCCCGGATAAAATCTCAAACCTTGATTTTGTTGACGCATCAAATTATTGAAATTTCTTTCTTCAGGGGTGAATGTTCTTCTCCGTTGACGTTGTGGTGGTGGTTGTTGATGCTGTGGTGGTGGTGGTTGTTGCGGCTGTTGATGCTGTGGTGGGATTTGAAAAATTCGTTATGGTTGATTATTTGGAATCTGAAAGTTAAAACCATTTGGTATAAATCGATTTGGTTCCTTTTGTCTCTTCTGTGGCATTTCATTAAAAATAAAATTTTAAATTGTATTAAATAAATGGTATACAACATCCATTTTCACAACATACAGCCTTAGTGTGTGCTCCTGTTAATGCAGTCTTACCGATTGTTAAGCGAGTCATTGACCCGTTTTTAAGTTGTAAATTAATATTCTGACCATCAAATATCACTTTATCATTTATTATATCCAAATAATTTTTAGGTGTTAATTGCTTATTTTGTCGTAAACTAACACCTTTCATTTTTTGTGCAATCTTTTTGAAGGAGTCTTCACCTATCATTCCATTAAATGAAGTATAACATTTCGGACATAACGCCACCATGTTATCACCTTGTTTCTCAATTGCTAAACACAATAATTTTTTCTCATGTGCTTTTTCTTCAGCTTTATTCTTTAATTTAGGTTTAAATTTCTCATCAAAACAGAAGAAATCAAAAGGTGCGAATTTGAAAATGTTTTTATCATAAAATTGTTTATCGGTAACAATTGCTTGAAATGCTTGAGTGTTAGGAAGACTTGGGTCGCCAGCGATTGCCCAATAAGATGAATCAGTATCACCTTCAATGAAATGAAAACGATTAACATTCATGCATTTATACATAAAATCATAAATGAAAACTAAATACCAGTATTTTGCGTTATCTAAAGTAAAAAATGCCTCTTGTAAACATGTATCACATCTATAAAATCTATCTTTAAGCATCATTTGATATGTATCTTCACCTATTTCTCTTATGTTTTTAAACTTATTTGACATACATGCAACGCGTGCCTTCTGTGCATTCATTATTTTAGTCTTTGCGTAATTTTGCGTATTCATTGCATCGTAACCATATGATCCATTAAGTGAAATCTTGCAAAATAAACTTTTTCCTTTATTTCCTTCTAATTCAGCCTTTTGTCTTTCGTTCATAAATTCGTTCGCAAATTCATTAAAACAAGTGTTTTTCGTAAATGTTAAAATTGATTGAATGTCATCAATGATAAAATTAAACCTGTCGATTAGATACCAAAGATAATAAGAAGAAAATGGTTGATATTGGTTGTGTGTTAATGCTAACTGAGTTAATTTCCTCTGTTTCTGGTCAACTGGTAAATTGTTTGATTTCATGTAATTATACATAAAACTGCCAATTGTTTTTTCATCTGTGATAATATCTAAGTTTCTTATTATCGGTAAAAAGTTTATGTAATCATTAATGTATTTTTCATCAATGTGACCCTTTACTTCAGCCACGAATAAAGTATTTTTCTTCTTAATTATTCCCAGTGCTTTTGCTTTCTTTGTTGCTGTATCACAAATGATAACACCATTCAATCTTCCCGGCATATACATTTTATGGTCAGTATATTGAATGAAATCATGAGGATTAGATGAAAATGATGAAGGATATAATGAATTAAAATCAACACCAACGAAATGAGTTATGATGTTGGAAGTGTCCTCATTTGATACAGTTTTAGTTTCTGGATTATATGAAAGTTTATTAATGTGCGTGATTCCTTTAAGATTTACTCTATGTTGAACATTTGATAAACCACCAGTAATTCCATTACGGAGAATGTGATAAGCTTCAACTGAATCTAAAGTCATTGGTAAATTATTTTTTAATGCATAATTTCTTAAATTGATTCTTAAACGTTGAACATCTTCATCTTTATTTGATTTTACGACATTGCAATAACAACACATTAACTGACAATTTTCTTTGGTATGTGGTTTTTCATTATCGATTCTATCCAATGTTGGTTTATTTGCATATGTAAACGCTTTACCACACATTTTGCATTTAGATGAAAGGATTAAATTGTGATAGTATTGAAAATCATCCATTGAAACATTATTTTTAGTATCTCTTTCTGCTTTTTCATCTTGTTTCTTATATGATTCAATTTTATATTTCCAATACTTTTTCGTTAATTCAAAACTTGATTCTATCTCTTCCTCAGGATATTTTTCATTAGGATTAAAGTCTTTATATGCTAAAGCGTAACGAATCATTGAAGCATTCGATGATAAAGAAAGATTATGAAGCATGTCAATTTTATAAACAAATGTTTCTTCAATAATTTTATCGATTGGGTCAATCATAATTTCAACATCTTTATTGCAATAATGAATAAAATATTCTAATCTATTCTTAAAATTTTTAGCATCATTGAGATATATTTGATAATCACTATCTGATATAGTTTCTTGAGTTAATGCTGAATAAAATGAATCTTTCGTGAATGGTTCCTCTTTATATAATTCTTCTTCGTAATTCTCCCACGTGATGAATTGATAAGGGAAAAAGGATTTAACACGTGTTTTATTATTTCCGAAATCTTGAGTGAATTGGTCTAATGTCCCACCCGCTATATAATTTCTGATGTCAATAAATCTCAATTCATATGGAGCGTTTGTTTTCTTTACAATGACTTGCTTAAATTGTGAAGATGAACCCAGCATTGATTTTATTTTCCATTTTGCAGTGTTTAAATCACGAAGAATTAAATTTAAATCAAACTTTCCCGAATTAAAACCTATGATATTCACTTTATTGAATTCCTCATCTAGAAGTTCTTTAAATGCTTCCTTCTGTTTTTCATTTAATGTATGGGACAAAGTCCCCACCGTTTGCGGCTTCATTAATTCATCGTATTGACTCATATTTGATTTAGCAACTAATGAACAGGTTGAAAATAAAAATTCAATCCAGTCAGAAATAAAAGAATCATTCGAAGTTAAACAAAAATTCCTCGTATATGTTTTATCATTTAATTTAACCGTTGATGATACCATGAATGGTTTTAAGTAAGCGTTCAAAGTTGCACACTCAGAAAGTTGTAATTCTTCTTTAGTCTCTAATGTTTCGAAGTCAAAAGTAATATAATATCTTGTCGGTTGATAATATTCCTGCAAATTATGAGCTAATAACCACTGATATATCTTCTGTTTCGTAATATGTGGTGCATATGGTTGCTGGGTCTTTTGCAATTGAACGTCTTGAATTAATCTTCCATTATTTTCTTTACATTTCTCACAATGCTTTAAAAATCTTCTTTGGTTTTTCCTTTCTGGATCCTCACGGATAGAATAAACTTCTTCTTTACAATATGGACAAACTTTATAGCCGGTGAGTGCTTCAACGTCTGTTATTCTGTCAGCGTGAAGTTTTCCACATGGACTCTGTGTTAATAAAATATTTACTGTTTCAAATTCTGGATCTATCATTATTGATTCCACTAATGGAAAGTCTACCTTATTTATGTCCACGTCTTCTGGTTGAGGATCACAATAATAGAAATCAATATTAACATTTAACATTCTCGCTAATCTCTCACTTTCTGATGAAATGTCAAACCCTTCATATGAATCTATTGCTTCATTTAAATAACTTCTACGAGTTTTAGGATTAACACCATCAGGAATGTTATAGAAGCGTTTAAATAACCTTCTACCTTCTGCTCTAATTTGATTATCATTCATTTTAGCTGTTCCGTTTTTGTTCATTTATGTAAGAATAAAAAATTAAAAAATAAATAAAAATAAAGTTTATTTTTTAAAGCCCATAAAATGAATTAAGAACACATAAATTTTTATCATCTGCGACGTGACGAATACATTTTAATTTACTCAAGAATGCGTACCCTGATACATTAAATCTAATTCCTGTCTTATTTAATTTCACAACTTTGAAAAGGAATGTATGAATAGCTATAAAATGATGAGAAGATGTTTTATGGGTTGCTTCCATTTTTTCTGAAATAAATGAATAAATATAATGCTTATACGTTTTCATATCTTTTATATTCTTAATAACGAATGGTATAGACCTTTCCACTTCATCTTCCTTCGGTGCTGTTCTTTCATATGAAACATTATTAGTATCTTCAACAATGAAACCGCAATCACATAAAATTTTATATGTTCCAATGGTTTCTTTTGATATTTTATCTAATAAATCAAAAACTTTATCAACACCTGTGCATTTATTTAAATAATAATTTGTGTAAATATCATGATCTTCTTTCTTAATCGTATTAGTTGCATATGTCACGTTTTTAAGAGCTTTTTTGAATTTCTCAGAATCGAGAGGGGGTGAAAGTAAGATACAAGGGTATTCTTCATTATCAATAAATTGTAACTTATGTTTACGAATAAATTTAGTACCTTCTTCTGAAAGTGTTTCGTCTATTTCACCATCTAATAAATTTTGTGTTGATTCTGAGACATAATTTTTATATCTTTCTTCATGAGATTTCTGTACTTCTGATTCTGAAGCTGGGATATTCATTAAACCCTCTACTTCATTTTCATTATATTTTTCAACTTCTCTTAATTCCTTAATTTTTTCATCTATTTCATCTCTTATTTTTTTCAGTCTTTCAATTTCATCGTATTCATCATCTTTAATCCGTTCTTCATAATATTCAGGGAAAACATCAGGTTCTTTAGGTTTTTCTTCTTCAGATGTAGGATATAAGAAATTTATAACATCATCTTTATTCATTTTTCCATCATAATCTAAATCATTTAATAACTCGGCAAATTTTTGACAATTTCTTAAATAATATTTATTAACTTCATAACCCACCTCCTCTAATATATCCTTTATTTCCTCGTTTGTGAATCCTAATTTTTTAACGTTGTTAGTTTTAACGCTCATTTCATACAAAATAAAAAAATAAAATAATAAACATAACTAAGTTTTAATTTTTCGTAAGAAGTTTATTTTTTTAAATTTTTTTTATTTTTTATTTCATTATGGTAGTGAATCTTTTATTCATGAAAATAATTATTTCTAATTTCTTTTACTCTCTCGTACATACTAGATTTAAAGAATTCAGAACATTTCCCATAATCTCCTAAATGTTTTCTTATCTTATTGGTTTTCCATTCATTATATGAAACTGTATAAACTTTATCTTTATCTTTACACCTTTCATCACTTCCAATATATTTATATTTCAATTTTGATTTATTGGTTTCATATTCATTAACGTTTAATAATTCACAGTCTTCCTTTTTAAATATATGTTTTATGTATTCAGGATTAACAATTCTATAATATTGCTTCCCTTTAAATCTTTGAATATAAACAGGAACACCATCCTCTAAAATTCGATAATCTATTTTATCTGGTTTTACTTGTTGGGTCATTTATGTAAGAATAAAAAAATAAATTATTTTAAAAATAACTTTAATTTTTTTAATGGTTTATAAATAAATATATTTTAATGCATCGTCTATATATAGATGTAACAAAAAAAGTCACAAAACCCATCATATCCTACTACTATTGGATAGAATTTAGTAGATATCAAAACAATGTTAGTTGACATCTGTGCAATGTTTTCTGATGTGTAAAAGAAATTGTTGAATCTTTATGACCAAAACTGATAACAATGAAATTTTTTGACTTTATACTTTTTTTCGATGAGTCAAGATCTGACTGTTGATTTAGATTTTATCGCTAACAACATTCAAACATATATCGAACAAGACAATTTCTATGATATTGTAGATAAAGATGACATTCCAAAAGTATTAGAAAAAGCCAATCTTAAATCAAACGATTTAACTACTCTTCTTTCTCAAGGCAAATCAAAGTATAGCATATCTGAACTATTTTGTTTTATTCAGAAATGCAATGTTTTCATTGATTCATTCGAAGACGCGATTGGCGTTCTTAATTTCTACAAAAAGAGCCTGAAACTCGAATCTTCTCGTTCATTAATTGATTATATTAAGAAATACAACGCAAAAATTAATTCAGATTCAGAAGAAGTCACACAATTAAAATCTGAAATTCAAACTCTCAAATCAAAGATCGCTACGATGGAAAATGAAATCAACCAATATAAAAACGCAGAAAAACAATACAAAGACGAAATATCTAATCTTAATAACAAAATTAATCGAATTCAAACAGAAAATACAAGATACAAAGACGAAATATCTTCTCTCAATAACAAAAACAGTCAATCAAATCAATCTATCAATGAATTTGCAAAAATTTCTGAATTGCGAAATTCAAATGATTTTGATTCAGTTTACAATTTCCTTAAAGAACTTTCAGATAAAGATGATAAATCGAGAATGTCTATTTCATGTGCAGATGGATTAAGTGAAAAGAGAGATTCTGATCAAAATACTCCACTTATTATGGCATGTACTAATGGAAATCTTCAATTAACAAAATCTCTTATTGAAGGAGGTTGTGATAGAAATGCAGTTAATAAATTCGGAAACAATTGTTTAATTGAAGCATCATTAAAAGGACGTCTTGAAATTGTAAAATATTTAATTGGAGTTGGTTTTGATAAAAACTGGCGAAATGAAACAAATGGATTTAATCCAATTCTTTGTGCATCACAAGAAGGTCGTCTTGAAACAGTTAAATATTTGACAAGTATTGGTTGTGACGTAAACTCTAAAAATAATAATAATGCAAATTGTATTTACATTGCATCACAAAATGGCCATCTTGAAACAGTTAAATATCTTGTTTCAGTTGGAGGAAATCCGGAGAAAAATAATAATGGTTGGTCTCCATTAATTGTTGCATCATCAAATGGTCATCTTGAAGTAGTTAAATATTTGATTCAAATAGGATGTAATAAAAATGATAAAACAAATTATAATAGTTCATCACTTCATTGGGCATCAAAGGAAGGTCATTTTGAAGTTGTTGAATATTTATTTTCAATTCGTGTCGATCTTAATGACAAAGACAATGGAGGGAAAACTGCACTTGATTATGCGAAAGAGAAACAAAATGAGAATGAAAACTATAAGAAGATTATGGATCTTCTTCTTAGATCAGGTACAAAATAATATCGATATAAAATATTTTTTTCAACATGTGAATAAAATTGAACTTTATCAAACATACTATCTCCATTCTAACAAAATTTAAGATTTTAAAAATAGCTCTTTATTTACTATTTAATAAATAATAGATAGTTTAAAAGTTAAGAAAGAACTATATATATTTGAACTTGTTTGGATATAAGAGATGCTTGTAATGTTAATTTTATCTCATGAAACTTTTGTCACGCGACACCTCTAATTTCTAAAAGCTGTTAAAATGCGAAAAATTGAGTGAATTTTGATCGTCTAGAATGATCCACAATTAAATTAGACCAATAGAGATGATTCCTCATAAATGCTTTACATATAACAATTTATTGGTGAATTTATGATATCAACAATATTTTAGTGTAGTTTTTAATTCTGAATCTAATTGATTTCACTTCATATGAAAAATCAAAATGAGCATAACAACTGACATCTATGATATATTCTAATATTATTTTTTCATTCAACTTTTGATAAAAAACAAGATTGGAATAGAAGAGACACTTTTTTAAGTTGACGACTTTTCATTCGATTTATTATAATGAGTAGTGGGCTTACAATTGATGTCAATAGCTTCGCTAAAAACATTCAAGAATACATCGATAAAGATACTTTCTATGATATTGTTGATAAAGATTACATATCTCAAGTATTAGAAAAAGTCAATCTTTATCAAGACGCCATTGACGTTCTTAATATCTACAAAGATTGCCTCAAACTCAAATCTTCACGTTCATTAATCAATTTTTTCGAAAAATACAATGACAAATTTAATTCAGATTCAAAAGAAATTATAAAATTAAAATCAGAAATTCAAAATCTCGAATCAAAGATCGCTATCATGGAAAATGAAATTAAACAATACAGATGTGAAAATAAACAATACAGATGTGAAAATAAACAATACAAAGACGAATTGTCAAATCTTAATAATAAATTTAATCAAATTCAAGCAGAAAACACGAAATATATAAATGACATATCAACAATTAATAACAAAAACAATCGGTTAAATCAATCTATAATTGAATTTGCAAAAATATGTGAAATTCCGTTGAATTCAAATGATTTTAATTCAGATTATTTTTTCCTTAAAGGACTTTCAGATAAAGATGATAAATTGAAGATGTCTATTTCATGTGCAGTTGGATTAAGTGAAAAGAGAGATTTATATGAATGTACACCACTCATTCAAGCATGTATGATGGGTGATTTTCAATTTACAAAATCTCTTATTGAAGGTGGTTGTGATAGAAATGCAGTTAACAAATATGGAAACAATTGTTTAATTGAAGCATCATTAAAAGGACGTCTTGAAATTGTAAAATATTTAATTGGAGTTGGTTTTGATAAAAACTGGCGAAATGAAACAAATGGATTTAATCCAATTCTTGGAGCATCATCAAATGGTCATCTTGAAACAATATTTTACTTGGAAAATATTGGCTGTGATGTAAACTCTAAACAAAATAATGATGCTAATTGCATTTACTTTGCTGCAAAAAATGGTCATCTTGAAACAGTTAAATATCTCATCTCAGTGGGAGGAAATCCAGATGAGAAAAATAATAATGGTTGGTCTCCATTAATTGTTGCATCATCAAATGGTCATCTTGAAGTAGTTAAATATTTGATTCAAATAGGATGTAATAAAAATGATAAAACAAATTATAATAGTTCATCACTTCATTGGGCATCAAAGGAAGGTCATTTTGAAGTTGTTGAATATTTATTTTCAATTCGTGTCGATCTTAATGACAAAGACAATGGAGGGAAAACTGCACTTGATTATGCGAAAGAGAAACAAAATGAGAATGAAAACTATAAGAAGATTATGGATCTTCTTCTTAGATCAGGTACAAAATAATATCGATATAAAATATTTTTTTCAACATGTGAATAAAATTGAACTTTATCAAACATACTATCTCCATTCTAACAAAATTTGAGATTTTAAAATTTTTTGTTTAATATTAAATCAAATTCACATATATAATTATTGTAATTTTGGATTTTTCAACTAGAGTAATGCTATATTATATTATTATTAGCTATTTACTGACAGTAAAGTTTTAGATCCAACACATCGATAAATCTTTTGTATCTTTTTTGTTAATATGATGGATAATAGTAATAGTACGATGAAGATAATATTTCTCAATACAAATCTAAAGTTATTTAATAGTCACATCATATTTTAGTTGAATGCCCTCAAAAAAAATCTACAGAATTTTGCCATTCAGATCAATTAAATCGGTCTAACGGAATCATATTTGATGATACTAGATGATTCTAGATTATTGGCATTACCCATTCTATTTTTTATTTTTTTGAAATAAAATAATAGAGGGTGTCCAACCAAAGATTTAACGATGATTTTGGCTCCAAATTTGGTATATGATATGGGGATGATGTCTAGGTCAATACTATTGTATTCACTAGTAATATAAAATGTTCAATTTTGAGATATAAAATTATATGAGGAAAAAATTTATTTTTTTGAAAATATTTGAAAAATTTAAAGAAATTTAATAGTAAAAGTGTAATAAACAGAAATTCATCAAAAGTGACAACTCTCAATTTTTTGACATTTGTAAATTCTAAATTGAATGAGAAAAATGAAATAATACTAAGCATAATACAATATTCTAGATTTAATTATAATTAGGAAAAAGTTAGTTTTGAGAGTACTTTTCATAGGCATATAGAATGAAATCTTCTGAAAAATAATATCACATAAACTCATATTATTTTCTAATATATAACTATTTTATATAAAAATCAAATTCAATGATCTTAAAAGCGAAGGATAAACCTCAAAATTTACGAATATAATGAGTGGGAATATAATGCTTATCTATCATAAAACCATATGAAATATCAATTTTTGCTTTACGCCTAATTTTTGACGACAATTAGCAAAAAATGTTAAATGTTAACACTCAGTCCATTTGAATATGAAAAATAAAATTGACTTTGATTAAATGTTTTTATTTATCATGCAATTCTTCTTGCGACCAAAGATTTGAATAAAAGTTCAAAAAATAAGATAGCTTAAAAAATAATATACGGTAGTGTTTACTAATAGATGAATAGTATATAAATTCTATTAAAATAGATTTGATCCAAAAAAATATATAAAATTTGATCATAAATAAAATCGTTTTAAATTACTTCTTCATTTAAATTATAACAATTATTTTTGGTTTTATATTTTTTGGATCAAATCCATTTTAATAGAATTTATATACTATTCATCTATTAGTAAACACTACCGTATATTATTTTTTAAGCTATCTTATTTTTGAACTTTTATTCAAATCTTTGGTCGCAAGAAGAATTGCATGATAAATAAAAACATTTAATCAAAGTCAATTTTATTTTTCATATTCAAATGGACTGAGTGTTAACATTTAACATTTTTTGCTAATTGTCGTCAAAAATTAGGCGTAAAGCAAAAATTGATATTTCATATGGTTTTATGATAGATAAGCATTATATTCCCACTCATTATATTCGTAAATTTTGAGGTTTATCCTTCGCTTTTAAGATCATTGAATTTGATTTTTATATAAAATAGTTATATATTAGAAAATAATATGAGTTTATGTGATATTATTTTTCAGAAGATTTTGTGTTCTTCTTCAAAATTTTAGTTTTTTATTAAAAAGAATCTTTACAAAATATACATTTACTTTAATTAATATTTAAAAACGTGCTCTATCAAAAGTTCCAAAAATTCAATATTTTAGCTTTTCTGAGGTGTCACTTTTGATGAATTTCTGTTTACAACAAAAGAAGAAAATTAAAAAAGTAAATAATGAATATGGGAGATTTTTATGGAAATGTTAGAATTATATAATTTGCGATTTGGTCAATTAAAGCAAAATGAGTAATTTAGCATGATGGATTTTAGAAGGGGGAAACACAAATTAAAATCTAATAGGAACGTCAATATGAAATATATAAATAAAATATGTGGTGTAACGGAACGGTTTTTGCACCTATAAAGAGAGGTATCAGGTTCAAATCTCATCTAATTATTTTTTTCCTCCCAATTTTGATTGTTTGATATATCAAGAAAATTAACAAATATATATATGAATTAATGAATAATTAAAGAATTAGAATGATTTTAAAAATATTAGAATAATCATGGATAAATCAATCTCAGATTTAAGATATTTGACAAATAATATAAAATATTGAAGATTCATATGTCGGTATTTAGCATTCATTGTACAAAAAAGATGTAAATCAAGTGGATCCTTTGATGATCTTAAAAGATTTTGTTTGAGAGTATTTGAGATATGATACAATAGATTTCATTGAGAACATCAGTGTAAAAGTAAGATAGGGATAGAAAATATAATGGTTAATACAATATTATTATATTAAAAAAATGAAGTTCAGAAATTTGAAAGAAAATAGTATTTTATGCAAATAAGTAGTTCAAAATTTGTCATTCCGGGAGACATGCATTGGCAATGTCTCCCAGAATGACACATTGCGACCGACAAGAGTGCATAACACACTCTTGTCGGTCAAAGTTTCCAATTATAATTCTATTATAACAAAAGTTTATAATTACCCGAAGACTCCATAATTAATTACTATATAAAATGACCAAAAATTTTATAAACTGTACCCAACATGCTTTAATAAACTTTTTTTTTCATTATATCTTTCTTTTATCATTCCTCTATCATCGTTACAGATCAATAAATAACGCATCTTCATTCTTAAATACTATTATAATTCATATACATTTTTGTTATATTTTCTCTCATTTCATAGTTTATTTAATTCTTTCTCATATATAATCTTCAGATATATTGAGCCTCAACACTCATCCATTAAAACAATATATTTTCCTTTAATCTCATATTATTCATTAACAATCTTTCCTATTCTTATTTCTAGTTAATATTCCAATATATATATCAATAATTTATCCTCAACCACACATTCAAATACATTCAATTCAAGAAATTCATATTAATATTTTTTCCCTACTCATTATCATATAATATTTAGTCTCACATCGCCATTAAATCAGTTTTCTAATATCATGTCATATTGGTAACATCACATATATCTCTTAGAATATTACTTCAACTCATATTTTTTTATTGATTATATTTAGTTAGTTCTGCATTCTATTACTATAGATGTTCGATAAATATATCAATAGTTAAAATCAAAATATATGCCAAACTTTGAATCTATTGAAAATTACATTTCGATATCTTTTTTCAAGCTTAATTTTATGTATTATCTTAAAATACATTTATCAACATTATGGATATTTTGAATTCAAAATATGACGCAGCATTACACAACTAATATTGAGATTCACAATTCATTTTCATGATTCTTTCATATATACATCAATAACTTAGTGTACCCATATAGATACACGAAAATAAATTAAATTTTGCATTTTTGATTCTCAGCTTAACTTCTATAAATGCCACCAAAACATTTAATTTCTACCAAGAAATAATATATTAGTAATTAAGCATTTATTACCAATGTTACTCACATCATATTAATTCTTATTCCTAATTTTTTAAATAAATGACTGGAATCATAAATCCTATGTACCCATATCAACATGTTAAAATTTCAAAGTCTGAAACTTAGTAATCACTGTGTTTCATGAAATCAGATAATCTCTAAGATTTCTTAAATCTTGTATCATACTGGCCAATTATGATTCATAATGATTCTTCATCATGTCAGCATTCTAATTGTAGCTTTATTATGCCAATTGGCATAAATTAAGAGCGCTTTTAGGTGATATTTTAGATACCTGGGTATGTACTTCCTACCATACTCTATCATTTTAGGTAAATTTTCGAACTATGTTTTGGTTGCTATTATCTATTATTCACAATCTTATTATCGTTCAAAATTAAAAAAAACGCTGATCACAATCAAACTTGCAACCTTTACCGATCCATTTTTACCAGAAAACCAATTGAACTATGAGATATTGACATGCTCTCAATTTATTATTAATATAAGATGTTTAATTGTGTCCCCTGTTTTCTTTAAACCTTAATTACTATATTTGCTATATATTGATACTTTTAATACCACACATAGAAGTTATTTGAAATTCTTTTAACTATTTAATTTCATAATATTTTCCTACCGATTAAATTAGGAATCATACCATTTTCAACGATCATACCCCTTTTAAATATGCATATCTCATAATATGTATATATTACATATCATTAAGCTATATGTTAACCTTTTAAATCAATTTTTAATATGATATCTCAACTCAATCTCAAAATTGAACATTTATTCCCAATCATGAATATTCAATATCTCACCTTCAGTTGTCGTTATTTACAATAAATATAATAATTTGAAAAAATCATCGTTCAATTTTTTGATTCAAAAAATCATCATTTTTATTTTATTATTTTATCAGATATTTAATGTAAATTATAATTCTTATTATAATTTTATAAATCAGTATTTTTCGAATTTATTCAAATTACGAAAAGAAAAATATACAAATCCAGCTCGAGCATAATGCTGATATGCATTCGCATGTATTTACCGTTTAAACTTTTCTCTACTTCCTCTGAATATGAAGAAAAACTCAAAAAGGTAAAATTCATTTTAAGGTTATTTTGGTTGGACACCCTCTAAAATAATAAACAAGTTTATTCTGATTTTACAAAAAGGAAATCGAATGGATGCTAAAACAATGGAAATATCTATGGCTGCTTATAACGCAATCGCCGTTTTAATCGACGATACCAACCATCAGCTTAAGACCTTTATTCAACAGTCTCAATTAACGTCGGAAGAGCTGAAATGGTTTCAAGAAGATTTATGGATTGAACAACCCGGCGCAAAAATTCTAAAGATGATCCAAGCAAGCAGCAATTTGCCACTTAAGGAGGGATACCACGCCTTTCTATTGGCACTCGCAACAAAATTAAGTCAACTACAAGGAAATTCAGAAACTACTATCAGTGATCAATTCATTCTCATTACTTTAGCATCCGTTGGAGCCATTTTCCCTCCAGTTGTCAATGATGAAAAAATTCCTACTGTTTTATCGAATATTATGTCAAATCCAATATTAACCCATCCACAAATGTCAGAAAAGCTATTACGTGCCTTTGGAAATATTGTAGAGCATGCAGAACTTGCAGGCATCAACATCTTTCCAACTTATTTAAAGGGTTTGAAGCCAAAATTAACTGTTGAAGCATTTTTCGAAAGACTGCAATATATCGTGACATCACCAGAGTCCTTAGTTTCCTTCATCGAATCACTACCTCAAATCCGAACAAGATTTGCCCAAGAAGAGCTTCAGTCATTTTATACAAATTTATACAAGTTATTCAAATGGTTCTCATTCAAACATGCAGCAGAGCACAGGTGCGCTATTCAGATATGTAATTCCGATCTATTGATGAATTTTATCAGCGGAATTCTTCAATTTGACAAAGGAAGCTATATCGATTATCCATTGATCGCATTTCTTATTCCATTCGCCATGAAAAAGGTTTTAGACCCAAATTCGCAAGAACAAAAGGATATTAATCAATTTTTACATGTTATAACAAAAAAGAAGCCGAAACAGTCAGTTGTCGAATACATCTACCAAGCAATAATTCAGCTCATGTTTTTCACTCATACTTACCCAGGACCTGTCTCTGAATACTTCAAAAACCAAATTAAAGCTACAGAACAAAACATCTACACACTTTTATCAGGAAAAAGAGATCCACAACTACAAAGCATATTACCGCAATTCGCAAGCTTCGAAACAACAGATGCAAATTGCAGTAATTGGACATTAGCTAGAGAATGCATGAAATCAAGAGCACAAGGTATAGATTTCGTCCATTTAATGTTTAAATCATATCCGATGCCTTACGACCTCGCCAGTCTTCCAAAGAAAGTTTTGCATTTTATTACCAGGGAATTGATCAAATGCGAAGATGAAAGAGCTGTAGACATGGTCGTTTGCAAGCAAAGATTCGAGACATCAATGCAAATCTCGAAAACAGAGATCTCATTAGAACAATTATTCCCATCTCCACCGATGGAGATCTTTATTAGGGAATTACTCAACTTAAATCACTTCATACAGTTCATTGAGAACTCACTCAAGAAGATGGTTTCGCTCCAAGCTCCACCAAATTTGTATTTATTGCTTAGAAATTTATTTTTACCGTACGATGTATGGAATTTCTTGAAGGATGCGGACGCACAATCCATTATACCAACACTTGATAACATGTACGTCACATTCTACAACACATTCTTAGAAATGTATAAGAAATCTCTGTATAACACCACACAAGTGGCCTCAATCTTCTTACAGTCGGTAATATGGCTCTCGTTCATCATCAAAGATCGCAAAGAACAAGCTTGGAAAACAGCTGTTCCGATTATTGCTGCAATATGCTTCGACAGCCTTTTGATTATCGAGATGTTTGGTCTTGTATCGCATTCTATCATTGACAAGATACGTCTTGCCATTAAGAATCTTACAGATTCTTTCGGAGTTCCTTGTCCTCAGCTTCCTACAAAGGAATTCAACGAAATCCTTCTATGGCTTCCATTCACACAGGTCAAGATACAGCCAATCCACGGTCTGAAAGTATCCTTGAAGTACGGAACCCTCAATAATATCTTTATTTCAAGAGTTTTCGAGATGATAAAAATTGACGGTGCTATCATCGACTCGTTCAAAAATATCAGACCCGAAGCAATTAATATGGTTGAAGACAGATTAATAGAAACAACCGAAAAAATGATATTATCAAGATATTTTAATGAAGTGAAGTTCACTTTAGGCCTAATTAAGGTTGCCATGAACCTAGTTAAGGCAGAGAAGTTCTCCGATGTCTCAAAGAGAAGGCACATCACAGCAAACATCCTTAGAATCATGATTTGCGCTGATTACGGTACAGATGATGTAAATCTTGTCAAAACAGCAATGCTTTACATCCAAACCGTATACACAGGTGAAGAATCATCACAAGATGATACAGTATTGATCTTATTACTCGAATTTATCTTCAAATACTGTAATACAACATGTAAATTAGTCGGAAACGTCAAACTCGCCGTCCAAGCGCTCGGAGCCATTTGCGAGTCTGTTTCTTTCCTCAATATCCTCAACGAGGAACACAACACAGCAGCAAATATCGAGAAGAACGCAAAGAAAACTGTTTTCTCTGTTTTGAGTACTTTACTTTTTGTAAACTCATTTTTCAAAGACGCGATTACTGCAAAAGATGGAACGAGTGTTAACGATGCCATCATTGAAACGATCAGGAAACTATTGCAGAAGAACTTCGAGATCGCATTCGACATATGTTTCCAGTTAATTAGTGAAACAACAAACGAATTCAAACAATTAATCATTTTAGCAATCACAGAAGAGTTCGATCCACAGAGATTCGGATACGGTATGCTCGTTACAAAGCTTGACTACGGAAATTACGCAATGTCTGTCAATAGAATTAATGTCACATTTAATTCTATGGTCTACAGCAATACGCGATCATACAAAGCTGCTCTACAGTTCCTTTCCTACTTCAATTTGCACATGGAGTACTTCAAATACGTCATGAACCCTAATAGAAATCATGATTACGACTGGGAGCTGTTTCTCCAAGCATTCTTCGACTTCTGCTTCACGGAAGAGAATCTCAAGCAGATTTACACCTACTACAAGCAGAACAATCCACAGCAAATGATAAGATATATCGCTCAGAACCCAACCATTGTCCGTACATACGAAATCCTCCGGGAAACCTTCTCCAAGTGCTTCACGGACAACTTCCTCCGCAAGTTCCTCAACGAGCCGAACTCCTACAACGCTTCAGTTGAAAAAGGTGACTCTCAGCCATGTGGTCAGTTCACTCAGGACATAAAGACGAGTTCCTATCTCGACCAAGTCATGTCCGAGTCAATGCGTATCATGGGCGAGTACAACCACCAGACACTTGACTTCAATGAAGCGTACAACAACTTTTTGGAGTATTGCCACACGAATTCAAGTTTCGACACGTTACATGTCTATGGCGAGAACATCAATCATCAGCAAGTTGTTATGATGAGAGATGCCAATGTCATGGTATTCATAGGAAGCAACAAAGGAATTCCACAGCTCGTTGTTTATCTCGATCGAATCAAGAATTCCTGGAAATCTGCAGAAAACATGCTTCACTATGTACAAATGCATCTAATAACAATCACTGATTGCGAAGTATTAGTTGATTGTTCACTATCAAGTATAGATGTAAATGTCGGCCGATCAATGGTTTCAGGATTGAAACTGTTGAGTTCAAAAGTTCGTCAGATTTATTTATTGAATGTTTCTGAAGAAGTTTTGAGTCTTTTAGATGTTGCTTGTCCTCCTGACGGCGTGAAGTTGTTTACACTTGTTAATTACGATGAAGCAATCAAGCAATTCCCGAATGCGAAGATTCCTATCACACACAACATCGGATTGAATTCTCCAGGCAGTTTCTGCTTCAAACACTTCGACAATGGAATGACAGTCACTGTTTCTCAGACAGGAGTTACATTGACAAAGAACAGACTGTTTTTCAGAAAGGAAGTTCAATCAAACACTTATCTGAGTTTGGCAGAAAATTCAGACAAAACTGATGAAAAAGAGAAAAGAGCATCGAATACAATTTACGAGTTTTGGATGAAACACGCGAAGAAGACTCGTACGATGCCATTTGACATGAACTTTTGTTTTGCTGAGTTACTTGTTGCTTTAAGTGACAAGAATCCAAGAACAAGAACAGAAATATATGCTGTTATTACGAAAGTTATTGGAAAACATAATTCAGTTGCGAAATATGATTTTACCAATAATATTTTGAGTATTCCTGCTACATCTATCTCTGATGTTTCCTTCTTCCCTCATTTCATTGATAGATTACTTTCAACAGCTCCTGAGAAATTGAACGAATTCCATTTCGTCATCAAGTTTTGTGTTGACAAATTACAACAAAACCAATTGTCACAAGTTGCCTTGACATTAAACAAATATCCTTTGTTGGCTGTTCCTGTTCTTCATGCTGCAACACGTCCTGAAGTAATGATATCAATGGCCGAATGTCTTCTCGAATTAAACAACACGAGACTCGCTTGTATTTTAACAAACAGAGTCACTGTTCCTCATTTAATCAAAGCTTCTCGTTGGCATTCTTTCGGATATTCAGAGAGTTTGGCCAAAATATTAAATGAGTTGTTGCTTTACGACAAAGACATTGACACTCCAAACAACATTCTTTGTTTTGCTGCAATGCATTCCATTGAATCATCAAAGGAATCTTTCGAAGTTTTCGCGAGATTGACATGTGTTGCTCATTTATTGTATTTTGAAAAGAATTTGCAAATTCCTTTACATTGTAATCCAGATTTTCTTGCAAATGCTTTAAGTGTTGTAACAGATTCAACACCATTCATGGACATCAAATCGATATTTAACTATTTCTGCAGATCAATAATTGAACCTCCATCAGCAGAAATATTTGTAAATGTCATGAATTTGTTGACAGAACCAAAGAATGATCCTTTCTTCCTCGAATACGCTTTGGCAACTTTGGAAAGAGTTATCGATGCTGTTCCAAAGAGAAGACCACATCTTTTCATTCTGGCTGTTTTGGCAAGTAGAAATGAATCAGAAGCTGTAAGAGTAAGAGCGATATCGTTGTTAAATACTTTGTTAAGTACTAGAACTGTTCTTGATGAAGCAGTAACTTTCGTGGAAAGAAGTGATATTTCTAGATTGGTAATGAATGAAGTCAAAATGACTGAAAAACCAAAGGATGGAATACTGTTAATTGTGAACGCAATGTTTAAGTGTTTCGCAGAAATAACGAATGTTAAAGTTGTAAATGAATTCGTGAAAAAGGTGTTGACAACACAAAGAGCGTTTAATTTAAGCGCTTTCATGTTACATCAATTATCTTTCACACAGGAAGCTGTTGATCCGCCTCCTGACCCTGAGTTCTGTCCATTCTTGATACAATGCCTCCAGGAACAGAGATGCAGAGGCCAGATACCAAGAATCTGTAGATGTTTGTGCGATATAAGAAAGAAATTCGGAAAGGAAACAGAATCATTCTGCTCTAAAGTGACTGAAATCGCAATTGGTTTGTTAGAGAATGAAATCAAACCTTCAAGTTTCGGAGCGTTAGGAACTTTGTTGGGAACTTTCAGCTCAGGATTCATGGCACCGCCAATGATTGCAAAGGCTACAACAATGGCAACAATATCAATTAATGGAGCTGAAAAGAGTGCATGCTCAATTGCACCAATTGCTGGAATTATTCTTCGTATTAATGTTTAAAAAAAATATTTATTTATTAAAAAAAAGTATTTTTTTTGTTATATATATTTTTGTAGCATTTGAAATTTTTCATATGTTTTATACGATGAATATAGATTCCCTGTCGTTGAAAAATAATTAAGAAATTTGATTTGGATATAGAGAATGCAGAAAAAACGTAACTATAATTTTCAATGAATTCGGAGACAATGTCTATATATTTCAACTTTGTCATTGAAATATTGCTCAAAATTTATTATGCATTTCATGATAATAGATCAATTTTGATAAGATTATTCAGTCAAAAGTAGTAATTTAGAGATTTTTCAAATGAAATATTGAAAGCAAAGTATTTATTAAGAATATGTTGTGAAATGATGAAAAATTTTGAGTGAAAACTATCAAAATTAAGTCTTAAAAAATACATTTTTAGAAATGGTTTTTGATTCTTAATGATTTTATGTTTTAGCAACAGACAATCACTATATATATCATCTAGCTGCGCTACGCGCCGAAACTGAAGGAAAATAATAATTTAATTCTTATAGACTAGAGAACATAGCGAAATTGAACATCATTTGCTCTTTTCTCTTCAATTTTATTGGAGAGAACCTCACTGTTTCAGGATAAATCGTACCATAGAAGAGAAGTTTTGCTAAAGTAGTAGCCTTTTTCGTATCATGGCTTATTGGGGCTGACATATTTTCCATTTGGTCAACATTATCCCCAATATCTTTAAGCATTAATCTTGAGTAGTTTCTAAGCGGGGTTGTAACATTGTAGGAATACGCCCATATTTCTCCCTTGGGTGTGTTAATTGTTTCAAAGTCGCCTGGCTTAACAACTCGTCTATCTATTATTTTCCAAGAACTAGCTTCTTCTCCGTATAAAACATAATCAACCATGAATCTTCTTTGCTTTGCATAATAAATAGTATAGTGACGTAGAGTTACTTTAGATGTCAAAAAATCTAATGTAATCCATGAATCAGTATCATTTGCTCCAGTAACAAATCGGGAATCAAAAAATTGCATGGGATGCTGAACAATACAATCAACAGTTTTACGTGATGACTGTGAATTATCGTATGATGAAGAATTTTTGACTATAATAAAACCATCCCTAGTTAAGTTAGTTGAATTATGAAGTTGTCTCATGGCTTCGAAAAGGTCTGAATAGTTACTGATGCTAACAAAATCAACTGTTGTTGCATTAAACTTCTTGGCGGAATACGCGAATACAAAAAGATAGGTTATTAGTTCCAACATTTAACCTATTTTAAAATTTGTGAAAGAATTTTTTCAATCCTTAGAAAAGTTAATACGAAATTGAAATATTTACAAATTATTAAATGATGACAAGCATGAAAACATATAAACAATTTTTTTGTAAAATTTTTGATATTTAAAAACCGTTTGAACTCGATTTTGGTTATTTTAACGTTGATTCTAAAATGATTTTATATCAAATATCGCATTTATTGTACTTGCTTAAAATGAATAAATTATGTATGATCGGAAAAAATAGCAATTCAAAATTTTTGATTAAGTTTAAAACGTTTTATGAATTCAATATAATTTTATCGAAAACAAAAATGAATTGAAAGAATTAAGGTTCATGGTTTCAAAATTTGCTACAAAAACAATTTTTTATGAGTCACAAAAGTCATTTCAAATTTATCCTTTCAATTATTTTCCAATAAAAATACACATTTCAAAGTAGACTAACATCATTCTTTCGCATTGGATAATTTTATTTCAAAACGAATAAAGTTCACAGAAAAAGTGGCATTATAAAAACTTTACACATTGTTAAGGGTCTTCAATTTTTGAGTGCTTTAAAACCGCCAAAAAGGCACTTTTTAGAATATTAATGGGCCAAAAATTATTTTTAATTTCTTTAGTTACTAGCCAGAATCAATATAGAGTTCATATGCAAAAAGTGAAACTAGACCAAAAATTCCAGAATCAATATAGAGTATTTCTTCTATTCATTAATATAAGGTTGGGTTGAAAAATGGGGCATCAAAAAAACTCGTACATGCCTCAAAAATTGAGAGGAATGACAGATTTTCAACGATAGGTTGTGTAAAGTGAACGATGGGTTTTGTAAAGTGAATGATAGGATGACAGATTTTTGACGATAGGATTGAGAAAGTCTATTGAAAAGTATTCAATTTTTGAGGCATGTACGAGTTTTTTTTTAATGTACGAGTTTTCAACCCGACCTTAAATTTGATGAGAATAATAACTTTCAAATTTGGAATAAAAATTAGTATTTTCTTTTTACATCATTACGTATTTTATCATATGCTAATGTAATTGGCTTTGAAATATAAATAATATATCATTTTAGTCAACTCTCATGCTATTTTACTTTAGACAAGTTTAGTTGCCAGCAATATATGCTTGAATTAAGCAGGACTATTATGAACATACCTTTCTTTTTGACTTTTAAAAGAAAAGCCATGAGTTAATCATCATGAATACTTTGTACTTAAAGTATGCAGCATCCAACAATTGAAAGATCTTTATTCTGGGTTTAACTAATCACTAAGTCAGACACAACATTTATTGTTGCCTACAGATGAATTACTTCGAAATAAATATCACTTTTTTTTAAATAAAAAATACAAAAAAATTTAATCAAAATATTTTTTCTACAAATCAGCACCGAAGATATCCTCATCATCTTCATCTCTATAACTCTTTATCTTATTTGTCAGCACGGCCTCTTCCAATTCCTTGTACGCGCTGCTGAGTTTCTTCACTCTCAACTCTATCATTTTACAAGTCAAAATTGGTTCATCGTATTCCTCGAGTTCTTCTTGTTCGTTCATCATTCTCGTGAGCCACTCTCTTGTCTGTTTGATGTGTGTTAGAATGGCTTTCTTTTGTGCCTTCGGGACATGCAACTTCTGTTTCTTCCATCGATCTAAAACAGCTTCTTGCATGTCATTCAACAAATAGTCGAGTTCTTGAATTGCTGGGCCTCTTCCTTTCTTCTCTGTTGCTCTGTTGACAATACTACTCATGTATTTTATAACTTTGTTCTTTTGGGCAATCAGTTCCTTTTCATCTTCGAATTCTTTGTTTTCTTCCGACCACTTAATTGTATCGTTAATTTTTTGACGGATTGTGTCCATTTCTAGAGGATTTATGACAGAAAGGAAGACTTTGTCAGACATGTTGTTCTTCAGGGCGAATAGGACAGCATCGAATTCGTTCTTCGCTTCGTTAATTTTGTATAATCTTCTGTCATTTTCTGAAAACTTGGAAAGGATCAGTTTGTAGCCATCCCTGTCTTCCTTGGATATATAATATGGCCTTCTCTGCTCGTTGTAGTCAACTTCGACGATCTGCTGGCTACCGGATTCTGATTTGTGGAAAAGTTGGGCTTTGGAAAGCTGCAAAATACCATTTTGAGTTACACTGAAGATGAATGATAACCTGCCACCATCTTTCATAATTTTAATTGACCACTTTCCGATTATATTTGTACATCCAATCGGAAATCTGTCTCCGTAATAGACAACGATCTCAGGAATGCTTTTGTTGGTATTGTCAAATCTAGCGGTCTTTGTTTTGGCCGTTAGAACGTTATTTTGTATCATCATTTTTGATTCATCTCCGAAACTTACGTTTACAGCCAAGTTATTAAGTGGAGTAAGGGTGATTTCGCTTCTTTGGAGATCTTTAAGTATTGCCCCATACAAGGTGGCCCCGTAAAGTACAGCTTCGTCGTTATTTAAATATTTTGTAATATTTCCAAGGTATTTCTCGAAAATTTCTTGTACCTTGAGGACACGCGATGCTCCACCAAGGAATTCGATGTTATCAAATGTCATATTGACTGATTTTGCCAAATTTTCTAGTTTATCAAAAATTTCTTTGCAAGAATTATAGAATTCTTCCCTTGTATATACAATTTTACGGTTCAAAGCATCGATTGTTTCATTTGCTTTGTCATTTAATGTCAAAGAATGCTTAATTTTCTTTGCATCAAGAAGTAATTTGTAATCTACGGTCGGAAGTTGATATTTCTGCTGTATATCTTTAGCAATTAGAACATCGAAGTCTATACCACCAATTGTATCATCCCAAGTGAAAAATAGTTCTTCAACTTTTGGTTGAGGACGAGGATTGACTCCACGCCTGTTTTCATATGTTGCTGAGAATTTATATCCGGAAATTGTAATTTTTGAGACTCCAAAATCAATGAAAGCAACTGATTTCGGTTCTCTTACGAAAAAGCTCAATTTTTCATGAGCATACGTATAAGCAGCTACTGTCTTTGCATCTATTATTCTTAGAACATTAAGATTCACGATTTCAGCAGCTTCAATAACTTTCATTTTCTGAACTTCAGTGAAAAATGGAGGAACTGCAATAACAACATTAGAATAGTCATCTTTTCCGAACTGAACTTCTGCGTTTTTAATAATACGCTCGAAAAGCATTGCCAAAGGTATTAATGGATCGATTCCGTTTATTGTTCCATTTTTCATATTTATTCCATACATTCTTCTGTCTAGATGTGCATTAATTTCATCATCTTCTGTTTTTCCAAGGATTTCTGTAAATCCTCTGAAAACAGCAGATTGATTTTTCATTAAAATTGCATTTGCTGAGTATCCGATTCTACGATCAATATCTTTAATGTTTTCTAGTTCTATTGACTTGTTTGTATCGAATGCAACTAAAGCGTCTGTTAATCTTTTCGATTGTTCATTTAAAATCACTTCAACAATCTTCTTTCTGAAGATTCCGGCCTTTATAGTCTCAGATCCAATGTCAATACCTATAACAGCCGATCTACTTAGTGTAATTAATAGTAGAGAAAGCATTTTCTGAAAATAATTTTTTTTTGAATGAGTTAATTTGGTCAAAATGATAAAGTTCTCTTGATAAAAAATATTCCATTAACGATTCATATGAATACTGTATTCAATAACATAATTGAGAAGAAATCATCATTTGACTTCACAAAATGAGTTTATCCAGCGGAGATGGAAGCAGTGCTCCTTTATGGAGTTCTGACATCTCCGTTGGAAAACTCTATAACAGGTTAAGGGCTGGGCGTAATGATGAGCGGATTCAAGTGGAATGTCACAAAGAATTGATTTTGATTTACGCTGAAAAGCTCGGTTGTCCGAAAATAATCAATTCCCTTCAAGTCCTCTTTGCTGGGAGGTTGAAATCTTATCTTACAGATGCAGAAATAAATAATATTTTCGAAATATTAAATTCAAATATCGATAAAAATGATTCAAAAGAAATATATACTTATATCAAATTATTGCAGGCTCAATTTCAAATGTTTGCATTTAATGATCCAGTCAATGCTCAAAAAAATTGCGAAGAAATTCAAGATTTTTTTCAAACGCCATCATTTCGTACAGATAAGACATCAAGAGATATGTTCAACATATACAACACGTTAAAGCTAGCCTTTGCTGATTTATCAAATGACGAAAACGATATAGAAAAATTTACGAAACTTTTGTTGCCAAATGGGGCATTTTTTTACACTGACCGTATTAAGCTTGCGTTTAATTACGGCACTGCCCTATACTTTTACCACAAAAGACGTTTCAAAAAGACAAATCAAATTCTTTACGAATTATTAATACACTCTCAAACAAAAACCCCACGAGACTATAGAATTATGTTATTATATGTAATTACATGTCTTCTTACAGAAAAATTGATCGATCAAACGCTCATTGATAGTCATTCTAATATTTCAATACTCCTATCGTCAAATTTTGATAAGAATCTTGCCGCCTCTCAAATTTCGGAAAGTGACACTGATCTCCGTATCGGACTTGAACTCCTTGAACAATTGAATGAGCACAGATCTCAATACAGCGCCATAGAAAAAGCTCTGATGCCGTATTATCGCGTCAGAATCAGTTATGTTGCTAAGGAAACTGGCTTTTCCGAAGAAATAATCAAAAATTACATAAAAAATACAGATTTATACGCTATCCATGGCGATATTATTATCAGAAAGCCAAAACCAATTGTAGATTTGTCTACAGAAAGAGAACTCCTGAAATCAACTGAAAAATCTTTTGCTCAAAGATCTCATCATTTCAAAATCAGATTTAGCGATTCAACTGATTGAAATATTAGACATTTCTTCAGTTTTTCGTAAGTTTGAACTTGATTTTATCAGAATTAATATATTTATGAAATATCCTTTTGAATTCGATATGTTGTTGTAGAATTACCTCTTAGAAATGCAGAATCATACTATTTTACGTATGATCTAAGAAAATTATAATATTATTTTGTTGTTGTTAATAAATATGTATATTATACTGTCTGACTCTATCCAAAGCAATACCCGGATCTAATTCTATCTAAAATAAACGAAAATTCTATCTTATAATAAAGTTTAGTTTTTTTAAACCATGCTATTATGAAATTTATCATTTATCTGATCACATATTACTTGAAACTGCTTTCTCTTTGAATCCTTTTTAATCATTAATTTATCTTAGGGGAATTTATGAACCCAGGAGCGAAAAGTTGTTGGATTGTGCAATGCTATTGTAGCTCAAACATCTTTTATATCATGGTCGGATAATTTTTTAGACATCTTTTTCTCCTATCCCAATGGAGAATGATATGGCTGAGCTCTTCGAAACTAATTCAAGCGACTCTGACTCTGAACCAGAGTACAAATACATCGATGTAAATGGTTTTCATCTTCGTCAAATGGGGAAACATCATTCATTATGGGGTGAACTCGTTTGGATTACAGGACGCATTGCAAGCAAACATATACTTGCTAAAGACAATGAATTTAATGTCGAAGGCAAAACAGTTGTTGAATTTGGTTCAGGAGTTGGATTATGCGCAGTTTCTGCAGCTGTTAGCGGGGCTAAAAACGTTGTTGCTACTGATTACAATGAACGTGTTATACTTGAAACATTAGAATACAACACAAAAAATTATCCAAATATCAAAGTTGTTGGACACAGTTGGGGTAACGATGTTACACCAGTTCTAGAGGCAAATAATGGAGAAAAATTCGATATTGCAATACTCTGTGACTTAGTTTTTAATCATTCTGGTCACAAACCATTGTTAAAATCTCTTAAAGCATGCCTCAAACCAGATGGTAAGGCGCTTGTAGCTCATAGCCATCATGTTCCCCATTTAGCTCAAAATGATTTAAACTTTTTCCAGTTGGCCGAGGAAAAGTTTGGATTTAAAGTCGAAATCATAGGTATTGAGAAACATCCACCAATGTTCCCTAATGATACAGGCGATATTGAATTAAGAACCCATTGTTATTTGAAATTAATGACATTCAAATAAGCTGATATAACTTTTGTTCATATATCTATTTTGTTATTATTAAACATGATTGTTTGTTTGATCCCAAACATCTAATTTTTTAAAAAATGTTATTGAAGCGTTATATTGAAGAAGTTATGCTTAAAAATAGATAAATGATTATTACATCTAGTAACTAAGTTGATACATGCATAAAAATTAATAAAATATTGTAATTTCAAAAAAATTTTTATCAAATAAGAATAATTATACTAATATACTATGAAAATATAAAACTTTATAAGAAGATAATAAGAATAAACGCAATTAAAACCTATGTTTTATTAAATTATTTGAAATTAAGCGAATGCTACGTATTTTGATTGGATGCCATTAAATATCTAGTTATATGACAATAGATATTGTCATTATATTACAAACAATACTTGCCCCATGTCTTTTGACGAATGTCAAAAAGTACGTTTCAAATTTTTAAAAAATAATGGAGAATGATATGGATGAGCAAATTGTTCTTCTTTTGAAGAACAATATGCAGATGAATTTCACACTTGTGCAATTCTCTGATCTTGCTAACAAAGATCTCTTAGATCTTCTGGAAACCGTTATACATGCAGTTTCTCCGGAGCAACCGGAAAAGATTGGCACAGAAAAAATCGAGGCAACAGTCGATCGTATCTCAGAATTCCTTCGTGTTCTTAAATTCGAGTTCCCATGTCCAGCAGATGAATGGGATCGCAAGTTTAAGGATGTTGACCCAACAATTATTCACCCAGCTCTTCTCTTCTTACTCCACGATATGGACGAGATGAAGAAGCGCGCTTACGTAGCTAAATACATGGAAGGTGACCACGTTCCAGATGAAATCGCCGTAGATACAACAGTCCAAGAAATGATGACCCAGCTTCGTGAACTTCGTGAGCAGTTCGAAGCAACATACAACGAGCACGAAGAGCTCGGAGCTACTTCCGTTGAAGAATTAAAGACAACGAAGACCGACCTCGAAGCAGACAAAGCCAGACTTGCTAACAAGATTAACAGCTTCAAGAGGAAGCTCCAGGGCGTCAAGAACCTCCAAGAACTCCTTGTTTTGACTGGAAAAATCAGAACCGAATCCGAGCGCGAATTGAAGTTAAACGAGCAAATCGACCGTCTTGGAGATGAAAAGAGACTGTTAATGCATCGCCAGCAAGTTTCTTCTGATCGTATTAAAAATATGAAATCACATCTTGAGAAAAACCTTCAAGAAAAGCGCGATGAGCTTGCCCAGTTGAAGAAGGTTACAACAGGCAAGACAGATGACAACAACCTTGCTTTCCTCCAGAAACAAGTCTTCGCTGCAAGTAAAAAACAGGAAGAAAAAGAGAACATGCTTAAGGACATTCAAGCCAAGCGTGCAGAGGCTGAAAAGCGCCTTCAAGAAAAGCAAGCCCAAGGCATCATCGAAATTCCAAACCAGCAACAATTCACGAATTACATCGAATTACTCAAAACTAAGAACCAAAACTACAGACAACTCCAGAATGAGATCAGCGTTTACCGTAAAGAGCTCGCAATCATCATGAGAACAGAAGCTCTCGTAAAAGCTCAGCAGAAATCCGTTCAAGATGAAATTGAACGTATCGAGAAGCAGAAAGGTATCTACGGCTTCCGCGATACTCGTGCTAAGCTTGAACAGTACTCCGCTACAAAGGCAGATATCGATGACAACAAGAAGAAGACTTTAGAAGAAATGTCTCAAATTGTTCAAGAGATTCAGCGCTCTATCAAAGCTCGCCAGGAAGAACTCCGTCCATTCGTTACTGCTCTTCAAGAAAAACGTAAAGAAAAAGCAGAAATCGAAAACAAATATCTCCAAGCTAAACAGCGCAAGGAAAAGGCAGAATTAGAATACGATACAGCATGCAACGAACTTGATGATGAATGCAAGAAGCTTCGTGCTGAAATTTCTACATATCAAAGTAAATTCTTTAACATTCAAGCACTTCTTGGTCAACAACAACGTACAGTTAAACGCCTTACAGATGAACAACGCGCTGTTGAAACAGGAAACCCAATTTCTAGTACTATTAAGACTTATGCTGATTATTTCCAGAAAGAAACACTCGCAATGAAGAAGCGAACAAAGGAACTTAAAGAACAGAAGAAGGCAATCGGTGGACAGAGCCAGGAGAACCAGAAACAGTTAGAAGCATTCCAGAGTCTAAGAAGAATCCTCCAAGTCAAACTACAGTGCCAGAGAAATACACAGGAGCAGAACAAGAAGGACAAAGAGAAAGAATACGACGAAATACACAATGTCAACGAACATATCATCATTACAAATTAATTTGCAGAATAAATATTTTTTTTTTCGAATATTTTGTCAAAATATACTTAATTTATATTTAAGGATATATATACATTTATGCACGTATTATAGCTAAATGCTAAAGCTTTTGTCAAAATGCTAGATATTCATTGAAATTTCTTATTAATAAGCTTAAATTGATATTCTTATACCTAATGAACAACCTATTATTTCAACAATCGATTTTTATAAATCATTCAAGGAGCTCATTTCCATCTAAATTGAAATAAATAAAGAATAATGGTCTTGTAACTGACCCATATCATCAATACTCATGATAGTTTAAAGAACCATAATTCAACCTTTCATCTACATGCTCTCACAAAATCATAGAATAACAATCCAAGGTATACTGTTCTCTATACCATCCAAAGAAAAGTACTCAGTATACTCTGACTAATTATTGAAAGTAGAGAGTATACGACAGGTTTACTCTGACTATTTCAGAGAATTGAGCCTCAGCTTACACCTGTGTTGCACAAAAATGAACACATATAGCCTTAAAAATGCTTTTCTGAGGATTGTCTATCATCTATGGAGCGCCCTTAATCAAAATTGGAAAAATTATAATGGATTTAATACAATTCTTCATGGTCACCTAGAAAATGGACACAAAGTTAGGCTGATGCATACAGACTCATTTGATGAATGTAAAATCTTGTGAACGCACATTAGATTATAAAAAAAAATGTTTAAAATAAAATCAACAAAATGAAAGATAATTACAAAGCCTGAGAAAGAGTTTATCTGTTTTTTAAAAAATCCTCAACAATTTGTTTTAGATTTATAACATCACCCATAGGAACAAAATCTTTAATGTAATAAGATGCTGTATCAATTCCATATGCGGGTAATCCATACATTGCAAAGTTGGGGTAGATTGCTGGATTTTGTTGATATATACAGTCTTTCTTGAAAAACTTCTTCATTTGTCGAACAAGTTTTTTCTCTCTTGTGTTTGATGGAGATCTAAATTCGGAACTCAAGTAGAAAGGACCGTAAGAATATCGAGAGACAAACATTTGTGCATCAGTAATTTGTTTTGTATTTGAAACTACAAAGAGACTTGGGCCATAGAAAAAGAACACACGATCGTTGTATACACCGCGAAATGCAATGACAGGGTAATAGTATTCGTCATTCAATCCTATTTCCTTTTTCTGACTTTTATTTTCAAAATAATAAATGTAATCATAGTTAATTTTTGGTATTGGATCGTATGAATGATCATAATCTTGATACCCCACTTTTCACTTCCAGAATGATCATTTTCCTCATCAAAATTTTGAATTACTTGAATTTCATTTATTTTTTGATATTTGTTAGCAGATTGCTTTATTTTTTTATCATATGTTTGCTTTCTGATGGCTTTGAGTTGCTCATTATTGTTATTTACATGGTAGACACTTGAATTATTATGATACTTCGGAATGATTCTAGGAGGATGTATTCCATTAACGAGAATTGTCTCAGAAAATGAGAGTGTACATTTGGTACCTTCTGGAATATATGTTACATCGTTGTCGTTGAGTAGTTTCTTCTTAAATTCGAAAAATTATGGAAGATCGCAGTTCAAATCTTGAATTTGTGATGACAATGTTTTTGATATTGGATTAAGCAACAGATTTGCAATCTTCAACATCCTCTTTTCGACTATATTAGTTACATTAACTTCTCGGACTATTTCATGTTCGACCCTTGGAGTTATACTATCATTTTCTTCATATGTAAGCTTTAAATATCCTATTTCATTGTTATTGTTAATGAAATAGTAGTCACAACCAACATTAAAGTCAACATTTTCTCCATCACAGCATATTGGTATGATTGGGAATGCATATTTGATTTCAAATCTTTTAAACCAAACACATTTAGGAACAATAACCTTTTTACGCTGCTGTTGTGAAAAAATGATTGGTTTCATCTTGATAGCTTTGGAATTATAATATGAATCTTCTAAATCAGAGATATATTTATATGGGAATGAAATACTATCTGGGGATACTTTGGAGCAAGAGCTGCTCGAACCCATTTAAGGATACCTAGATGACGATATGTAAACCATTTAAAAATCGAAAGTTTGTATCAATTTTTTTGAAAGAAAATTTCGGTTTGAAATTTAATTTTTGAAACATAAATATAATAGGCTATTGAAGCAGGTAATTTCATACTTTTCACGATATTCGAAATAAATTGTTATAATTCGAAAGTGACTTTTTTTGTACCTGCTCTTAAATTTTTATCACTTTTTCGAATACTAATGAGCCAATGATATTGGGAATTAATTTCAACAGTTGTATTAGTGCAGCTATAAAATAAAGTATATACAGATACATCTATATGAATATTAAGCTTTTTCCTTAATTTTAACAAAATAGGGCGAAAAATGAATAAGTAAAGCGGTTCCACATATTTTGTAAAGCTATCAATCTTGGTCAAGAATTCTAAAATAGATCACAATTGATTTCCAATAAGCCCTTAATAAATGAGCAACAGCATTAATAAGTAATCTTAGTACTTTAATATTCACTTATGTAAAGCAATACTAGCAGTATTTTTTTCATGAATGAATCGGCCACTATATAATAATAAGCAAAAAATATAATCTTTTATCTCTATATATAAAATAAATAACTCTATAAAAATAATAAATTATTAAATTAATCTAAATCATCAAGCAAAGCTTCAGCAGCAGCTTCTTCTAATGTCTTCTCCTTCTTTTCTTCCTCTTCCTCCTCTTCTTCTCTTTCTTCTTTGGCCATTCTCTTCTCTTCTCTCTCTTTCCTGTGTTGTTCTTTCGTTTTCTTCTCTGATTTAGGCTTCTTTTCGCCAGAAAGGAGGTTCTTCAGCCTGTTTCTCCATGCTTCGTACTCTTCCTGTGGAATTGGCTCGTCAGGAGACCTAAATTCCATTGTTGTCGGTTTTGGTCCGGAAGATTCAGCAATTTCTTTTGATTCTTTGTCATCTTCGTCATCTACAACTTCAAAGAAATCATCAGACTTCTCTTCTTCATCATCTTCTTCGCCATCGTCTGAGGATTCATTTTCGTTGTCACTTTTTTCTTCTATCACTTTTTTAGTTTGTTTTCTCACTGGGACAGACAAAAGTCCGAAACTTTTAGAGAAATCTTCGAGTTCGTCCAAGATATTTTGGACTACAAAGACTTCGCCGTCTTCATGGTGCTTGACAGATCTAATGTAAGTTGTCACAGCTTTCATCGCGAGATGTTTTACGTCAGAAAACCTCGCACAGATGTCAACTAACCTTGGTCTGATATCTACTAAATTATCGCCAATGATCTGTGCACCTTTCAACTCAATATTCAGCTTCGCAAGCTTTTCAACCATCATCTTCTCGCTTGGAGTCAAGAAAACGATGCTTTTACCCATCTTATGGAATCTGGCAGTTCTACCGGCTCTATGGATATAAGTATCTGTGGAGGATGGGCAGTCCATTTGTACGACCCACGTAATATCGGGGAAATCGAGACCACGAGCGGCCACATCCGTAGTGAAAATGGCGCAGCGCTTTTGGGACTTGAATTCCCTGATAACATCGAATCTCAAATTCGAGTTTTGCTTACCAGTCAAATGGAGAATTGGAAGACCGGGGCGAAGGTGCTTGAAAGCCTCGTAAGCGAAACGAACCATCTTAACTGTCTCCATGAATACGATTATTTTGTCGTTTAAATGCATCTTTAAGAAGGAAAATAAAGTATTCCATTTTTCTGAGAGATTTACTATAGCGTAGAACTGAATAAGGCTCTCTGGCATGACAGTAGAACGTTCTTCTGTAAGATTGACACGTGCTGGATTAGATAAAGATAATTTTGAGATATCTTTAATGGCTTTTGTTGCTGTAGCTGTGAATAACATTGTCTGGCGGGTATCTGGAAGATCGGCGATAACGTGTTTGAGGTCGCGGATGAATTCTTTGTTCATAAGTTTATCTGCTTCATCCAAAACAAGAATTTGTAAATGATCAGCGTTAAATGTAGATGTAGTTTCCATGTGCTCTTTAAGACGACCCATTGTGCATATGATTATGTTAAGTCTGGAAAGACCTTCTTGTTCCATTTCGAAATCCATGCCACCTGTGATTAAGCCGGCACTGATATCTGTATCTTTGATGAGTTTCTTTAGTACATCGAATGTCTGTGCTGCAAGATCTCGTGTTGGAGAAATGATTATTGCACCAATTCCGGACATTTTTGAGAATTTGGCTTTCTTGAGTGATTCAACAATAGGAATGCAGAATGCAAGTGTCTTACCGGAACCTGTTTCTGCTGCACCGATGATATCACGACCACATAAAGTGTATAAAAGTGTCTGTTTCTGAATTGGACTCATTTTTGTAAACTTGCTCTTCTCAAGCGACTTCTTTGTTGATTCGAGTATTGGCAGTGATGAAAATTCGTCAGTCATTCCGGGATCTATGTAGTTATTGTGTGCAATTTGGTTAAGACGTTCATTTATTGAGTCAACTTCATCGTCAAAAGCCTTCCTCTCCTTTTGCTTCTCTTCTTTGACTTGGCTTCTGCTCTTCTGATATTTGTGGAACATTTAGATTTTAAAAAGTGACAAAGATTTTTATGCCCTTCTTCATATCTCATTACGCAGCATATTCTACCGGATAATTCTTGTGCAAATAGATTGACCATAAGCAATGAATTATTTATGTCATTGTTTTATTTCTATTTTAAAAGAATATGATAATAAATTTCTTTTATTTTAAGGATTTTCTAAAATAATTATCAAACAATAGCTATGTCTTTCAAATTTATTCCATAATTTTATATGAGTTATGCTCAGTATCTATACTTTGAAGAATTTTCAATCAAATCTTCACTGATGCTATTGATTTGGAGCACATGAATATGAACTTTGACCTAGACATATATAAGTTAAGCGTTTGAACTAATAGATTCTTGATGATACTGACTTCTATTGCGGATTTTGATTTCAAAATTTTATGAGATTTTATGCTCAATTTTTAGAATTTATTCATATTCCATAGTACCTATCCACGCTATTTATTTTTATGGTTTAAATTCAAGCATTTATTAATTATGACGGAGATCGAATTGGATTCGGAATCGTCAGACAATACAACAACCACAACTACCACTACAACTACAAATACATTATCTATCTATGCTGGTCATGGCAATGCTGACCATCTAGCTACCAGCAAAAAGACAAATAAATTCGAACCACCACAACAAACACGTGCAACGCACACACGTGGCACATTTGTTGGTGTGTTTTGTCCGAGCTTTGTAAATATCATTAATATTATTTACTACGTCCGTCTTCCATACGTTATTGGTGTTGCAGGCGGAAAACTAACGTTCATTGGACTTTCAATTTCATTTGTTCTGGTTTTAGTTACACTATTTTCTCTTGCTGCTATCTCTACAAATGGCGAAATCGAAGCTGGCGGCCCTTATTATACTATATCACGTACATTAGGTCCAGCAATTGGTGGAACTGCAGGCTTTATATTGAGTGTAGCGAACATGCATGGTGCTGCAGCTGCTCATATCGGTTTAGCTGAAACAATTGTGATTTTATATTCCCCTAAATCATTAATATCAACGAAATGGGATACTAGATTAATTGCATGTACACTTACAGTTATAGTTGCGTTCTTATCAAGATATGGTTTTGAAATTAGATTTATTACTTTTTTCTTTATTATGATTGGCTTAGCTGCCTATATATTAGGTCTCATATTCCCTTATGTAACAAAAGCACGTGATATCATTGATTGTTCTGAAAACAGATTTTCCGTAAATTGGGCAACGCACGAAAACACAGTTTCTTTCTTCTATACATTCTCCATCATCTTTCCAGCGTTCGGTGGTATCCTTGCAGGCTCAAATGGTTCAGGAGCCCTCAAAAGACCACAAAGATCAATTCCATTAGGAACAATTACAGCTTTAGTTTCAGGAACAGTCATTTACTTATTAACTACACTCACATTGACAGGCTGCCACATGTCAAGCGGATTGATCAACAAAAACAGATCAATTACACAAGAAACAGGAATTTGGTGGCCAATTATTTTCGTTTCAATCTTTTTATCTGTTATTTCCAAAGGTGTTACAGGATTAGGCTCAGGACCGATGATTCTTAGACTTTTAGCAGGTGATGGAATCCTCCATAAATTCTTTGGAGATTGGTCATTAACAATTGCAACATGTGTTTCATTTTCATTGTGTTTGTGGGGAGATTTGAACACGATTTCATTCCTTAGAACAATGTTCTTTTTGATTGTTTTCACGTTCATTAACTATGCCATTTATCTTGCAGGAACGGCGAATGTTCCAAGTTTCAGACCGACCTTTAAATTGTACCATCCTTACATATCATTAATTTCTGGTTTGTTGATGTTGGCTTCTATGTTAATTATTCATTGGGTTGTAGCTTTGGCGACATGGAGTTTCGCATTGCTATTTCAGTTTTGGATTGCAAAGAGAAGACTTAAAGTTAACTGGGGATCTTTGGATGATTCAGTTGCTTATGAAAAAGCTTTGAGAGCTGCTTTGAGACTGAGAAAAATTCCTCCACATCCAAAACTTTACAGACCAAATGTCGTCCTTGTTATTGACGGACCAGTTGCAAAGCATCAGAATGTTGTTTCGTTTTTGGATCAAATGCTGAGAGGTAAAGGAATGGCCATTGTCGCAAGAATGTTTCCTCCAAATACTCCGATAAGAGATATCATAAATGAAAGAAATTATAACACTGTTAAAACAGGCGAAGATTTCAATATTTTCTTCGAAACAGTTATCGCGGAAACAAAGACAGATGCCATTAAAAAGATCATGTTACTTACTGGTTTGGGCGCTTTAAGAGCTAACGTTGCTTTCACCGAATTCGATGAAACTCTTTCTCACGAAGGAACTGATTTTATCACTCACGTTTTGGATATGAATTGGTCCATTGTTATTTTAAGGAACCCAATGAAACTCGATAGATACGGATACATTGATTTATGGTGGCTTTTCGATGATGGCGGTCTCAGTCTTCTAATTGCTTCTATTCTTGCAGGATCGAGTAGACCTTTGAGAGTTTTCTCTGTAGCACAAACAGATCTTGGCCAAAACACTCAAAAGCATTACAAGAAAATAAGACATTTGCTCAGACAATTTAGAGTGAATGCCCAAGTTATGGCTGTTTCTTTGTCTGAATCTGATTCAATCCCTTCATCGAGATCACAAAGATTGTGGAATGAAATGACCGTTGGTTTGGATGAAGCAAGACAATATGATGGATTGACAAAGAAATACCAATTGTTGGCTGATTTGATAAGACAATATTCATCTGAGGCTATTACATGCATCATTTCTCTTCCAGTACCAAGAGTTGATGTACCACAAGTAATATATTCGAGATGGATTTCTTTGATATCAGTTATGCCAATTCCTGTCTTGTTTGTAAGAGGAAATGGAACCCATTGCTTAAGTTGGCAAGTGTAATTTTGTTAATTATATTAAGATTTGTTGTATTTAATAAATTTATATATATATGTATGTGAAATTACAGGAGACTTTCTATAAATGTTAAAAAATCTATAACGATAGACTCAGCTGAATGGGCTAACATTTGAAAGAATGAAGAGTATTAATGCCTCTTTGTAATTAATGGATTTGGATTTGAATCAAAATCATTTTCTTCATATGAGATGAAGCGATTGTAAGAAAAGTGATATTTAATTATTTTATACCAGAAATAATTTATTAATGGCAATGTAGAAGCGATGTGGAACAGTTGGTTTAGTTCGTAAGGCTCATAACCTTAAGGTCGCTGGTTCGAGTCCAGTCATCGCTCTTTTTTATCATTTTTTGTTCCAATTGACTCTGAATATGGAATTATATGCTAAATCATTCTAAAGTTAACTATCTGCTATCCAATGAAAACAAAATCATTGTTAAAAAGGCTCTTCGTTATTCTCAGTTTTTGTCACTTTTCAATGACTTTTGTGGGCCACTCTATAAATAAAAATCAAAATTAATAAAATTAAGGAAGATCTTTACAATAGTCATTAACATTCTTATATTCAGACTTCTTGAAATCTGACAGTTTTACAATATCCTTGCCTTTCATTTCTTTAAGTTTGATGACTTGACCATTATATGCGAATCGAACATATTCTGTTTTACCTTTAGTCCAAATTTCCATCAATAAATGATTTGCATAATGCTCTGTCATTGTAACATTGGCATCGCTTCCTGCAAGAAGTTGATGGATAGAAGCAACTGATTCTTCACTTCCAGAGAATAATGAAAATTTATACTCTATTCCTGTTATATTCGATGGGATTCTAATGAATTCTCTCATTAGATAGGATGCAAATAACTCTGGTTTCTTACTAAATCTTCCATATGTATGCTTGTTGATGATCTTATGACAGGCATCTTGTATTTCTTGTGTAACACTGAAAGGAAGTTTTCTTCCACTGCATGAATATGAAATAACCCAACGTGCAATATCTATCATATTTTCATATGTTTGCTCAATTCCATATTTCGAAGCAATTGGACTAATGGATGGCCAATATTCCTTAATGATATCATCATCATTAGTGATTTCTTTGCATGTTTGAATAGATGGTTTCAATAATGATCTTCCACTACCTTCTTCATCTGTCATTAAAGTTAATGATGTATTTTGTGCCTGGTGGTACAAAACCATGGATAAATGCCTGGGCAGATCTTATATTTCTTTGTTCGGCTGCTGATCTCACAAAAATCTCAGATGGTTTTGGATAATCTGTGAATAACCCATTTTTGAATAAATACTCAAAATATTCTTCTCCTAATTTCTTTTGCTGGAATTGACCATCTGCTGTAAGTTCTTCAGCGTTACAATTTGGACTAAAGTCAACAATTTGAGGTTCTGTAATTCTCTTGAATCTCCTGTAGTTATTGAAGTTTGAGATAAACATATTTGGTGATACTGCATTATCTTGATCACATGACCAATGTCCTCTTTCAATGATATTCCCCAATGTTAACTTTGGTGCATATTCTCCTTCACTAATGAGGACTTGAGCAAATTTCAGCTTATATCCTTTAATTGGACTTGGTGTGTGGAATGGAGAAACACATTTATTATTCAAGCACTGACAGAGAGAGAAAAGTAATGTTAAACTCATGAAAAAATGTAAAACAATTGAATATGAATATTGAATGAATATTTTTTTTAGTCATAAACTAGCATTAAGAATAGCTCCAATGATTTTGTGATAACCATAATGTTACGATAGATGTTTGAATTTATTATTTTCTGAGTCTTTTATTCTTCTGCAATAAATATTCATATTGTAGTGAATTATATATTCTGTTATGTTATTATTGGTTTTAATATTTACCCATTTTTATCGAACAAGATTTTTGTTTATGTTAAAATTATGAATAATTTGTCTACCTATAATGCAATATTATTGAATTTAGTAACTGTGATGTTCGAACAATTTTAAATGGCATTATTTGACAACCACCTGACTTTCACAAATTTGAATAAAATATCATTAAATTTAACGAAATTAAAATTATATTGTTCCTTTGATTTTAACCACTAATAATGTAAAAACATTTTGTCAGTGAATCAAATAATTGAAATCATTCAAATTATAATTGAAGGAGCAATGAATTTCATAACGTGCGTGGCGTTTTTTGACATTCAAATTGTAATGAACATGTTCTCCTTTGTTAAAATTTAGTATTTTACATGTGTAGAATATGGAAAATAAAAAATTGATTTTTTAATTACTTTATTAGTTAGATAAAAATATCAAAAAATTGTTTTATTTGTTTTATGGTAAGTCTGGGTAGCAATTTTGAAGAACATTTTGAATGGCTGATCGAAATTCTCCAATTTCCATAATTTGGTACCTGTTAAATATGTTAACTACTTCGCCATTATAAGTGAATCTAATCCAGGTTTTATCATCCTTAAGATATGTTTCCATTGTGATGTATGAAGCATATGGCGGAGTCATTACCCAATCTCCTCCAATTCCAAGTGATGACAATACAAATGCAATAACGGAATCATGAGCAGCAATAACATCAAGTTTCTTTTCTCCTCTTTCGTCATAATTCTTGAATAACTGTCTGAAAATAGGTCCACCACCAACGCAACCTTGAGTTTCATTAAAGAATGAGATTCTGTAAAAGTGATATGCTTGAACCTTTCTGCATTGTTCAATCAATTCATCGGTAATAATTGGGAATAATTTTTGTTCATTGCAATAATAGGTGATAGCCCAATCACACATTGATTCCAAACCTTCTGGTGACTTATCTGTGTTTCCTGTTAAATCATAAAGTGGCTGTGCATACTTCATAACTTCATTATGCACATCCATATAAGTTGAAGATGCAAAGAAGTCTGCTGATAGCTTCTTGAGATCTGGGCACATCTTATTGTTTGGATGAACTGTATCTCTATTCTTTGTACCTACAAGGAAATCAATATATTCATTTGAGTCTTGTACTGGATATAAGCCTTGTAAAAATGAAACACCAGATCTGTATGTTCTTTCATACCATGTAGCTCGTGCTGAAATAAGTCTTGGATCATAATATTCAGGAATAAGCTTGATCTTGTTAATAGCATATTCTCTAAATGCAGCACCAAGTTTGAGGTGCTGTTCCATACCTTCAACTGTTAGATCACCAGCATTGCAATTTGTTGGATATTCGGAAAGTCTCTCTTCAAAATTTTGTGGACTCTTCTTCCATTCTTCCTTGGAGAAACTTCAATACGTGAAGCGCGTGCATCATCTGCATCGCATTGCCATTTACCTCTTTCTTCTGTCTTGAGCCACATTGTAATTGGTGTTCGTGCTCCATGTCGAAGTACAATTCCATATGTTCTGGAATATACTCAGATGTGTTCAAAGGCTCGGGGAATTTATATGGAATATCGCATGTAGGATGGAGCTTTGAGAATCCACTTGCAACAAGTAGTCCAAGCATTAAGTTATAATCCTATAAAAAAATTGAGAACTCATCGATAAATTCGATTCTTCAAAAAGAATCTTGATGAATTATGTTAGATTTATATAAATTAATGCATGGAATAGAAGTCATCTAATTGTCTAGCTTTAATTCAATTATTTTGAATTCAAATACAAATGATTCTATATGTCCTCAAATTGAGATGTTTTCGAAAATTGAGAAGGGTTTCAATATTGAGAAATCATTCAAAAAATATTCAATTCAAAACAATAAATTATTGTAAATTAATTGATTTTATTAAGGACTTTTTTACACCAATATAGTTTCTGTGACTTCTCTTCCTGATTTTGATTCAACATCTTTATTTTTCTTCTTTAACACGATGTAAATTACAAGCACAGATGCTACAATAATAAGAAGTACAGAAGCTGCAACCGAGACACTGATTGTTATTATTTTGTTTTTGGAGCTTGAATCTTCATTTGGAGAAGGAAGTTGCTTTGTTGCTGGCCATTCTGGTAATTTTGTTGGCCAAGTGTGTGTCCTTGCAACTTCGTTCGGGTAAGCAGGTGTTGGAGAGAATCTGTAAGGTGTAACTGCTGCACAGATGGTCTCGGAAACAAAAAATGAGAACAAAATCATATTTGCGATATGTATACTTCTCAATATTAAATTGAACAATCTCTGAAAAATTTGTATACTTCATTCTCAATTCTGGTTTAATGCTAAACTTTATCGTATTTGTAGCCAACAGTAAGAAATTGCAATGCGAAGCAAACACTGGCTTCCATCAGCCAGTTGAAGGAGCTAAATTACTTCATTTATCAGTTTTATTTAATATTGGCGAGTCAACTCCAGATGTGAGATATATTAGCCGTAGTAATGAAGAAAATTGACATGTGATGATGAAAACTCGTTAATCATGAACTATAACCCTGCTCCTGAAGCTTTTCATAGAAATTACAAAATTCAGCAAGATCCAAGAGTTTTATCATTTACACCATCATGTTCAGCTAATGACTTAACAAATAAAGGAATGAATCAGATGTATGAGCTAGGAAGAAGAATCAAACAACATTATTCCAATAATGTCCCCGGTTTCATGCCAGAGAACGCAAATCCTAATTTCTTATATATTAAATCATCAAATAAAAAGGTTAGCTTAAAGTCTGCTATGGCATTTGCACAAGGTTTATATGAATCCACTGATTATAATGAAGTTTTGAAGATTTATTCTGATTCTGCAAAGAACAAATTAATAGAACCCGATTCAGAATCATGTGCAGACGTCAAGAATCAAAAAGAGGCATTCATAGCAAGTAGTTCGTATTCTGAATTATTTGATTCATATAATTCTAAATATAAGAATTCACTGCATGAAAATGGAATTGAATTAACAAAGGAGAATGCATACAGTGTTGCTTCTTCATTCCTTAAATACCAGTGTGCAAAACAAAATCTTCCACATTTGCCTGATGGATTCATTGTTGATAGTCAAGACTTTGTTGTTAAGTACTTATATAAGCAAAATTTGTTCAATAATAATCCATCTGTGTTATCTTCCTCGATTCTCAGAGAAGTATTTAGAATTATTAACCACAAGCTCGCAACTGAGACTTACCACAGAATCATTGCAGTTCCACTTTCACCAGAAAACTTTGTTTCTATTCTTTCGATCCTTGATTTCTCTGATGAAACCGGACCTTTACCAAAATCTCATATTATTCTTGAGATTTGGGAAGTTGGAAAAGACATACAAGCAAGATTATTATATAATGGGCAAGTTCTCCCTGTTGACTCAATAATTCCTAATCAACAAGATTTGTTGACTGGTTTATTCCCATATAATAATTTCCAGTCTATTTTGAAGCAAAAGGGCTACTTGAGCAAATGTGTAATTCCAGGAAGAACAATATGGTAAAATAAAATTTTATTTTCTCAAATCTGAATTTTTTTTATTGTTTCACTTTATTTTGATATACTTTATAGCAACGCGACTCAAATTAAATCAATCTCAAAGATATGACACTACCATATTTTGATCATTTTGAAATTGTACTCTCAAAAAGAGTTTTACTATTCAGATAAACGCATTTATATAGTAGAAGATAAAATAGCGCTAAAATAATTGTTATACAATCGCGACTATACTAGAATATTTTAAATAAAATTAATTTAAAGAGCGATTGGGAGTTCAACTCTGGTGGCGACACCACAGTTGTTGTCCTTATCCTTGATCATGCGGATATAGCCCTTTTCACCCCATGTTGTGCCCCAAGAGTTACGAACGATCCAATAAGCCTGAGAACCCTCTGTTCCATAGCCAACGCAGCCGACAGCGTGGTCAAGGAATGTAGATGAGCAGGCTGGTTCGTAGTAAATTCCGGAAGAGTAGAGATGGAAGGAATGCTGTCTAGCATCAATAGAAATTGTTACAACACCATTTGTAACAGCCTTTGCAAGAGCCTCTTCTGTTGGTTCGACACCATCAGCACCCTTTGTGTTGCCAACACCCTTCATCTTATCGAATTTGCACTGACCATCTTGAGCTGTGTATGGATAGTCGGATTCGAGCATGAAGTAGCCATCTTGTGTATGTGTAACAAAAGCAATGGCAACAGCAGACCAGCCACCATCACATCCGTAGCATCCACCGCAGCAATCAACAAGGTTTTGCTCGGAGAATGAGAGAAGCTTATGGCCAGCCTGTGCCCATCTTGATTCGCAAGCCTGGATAGCAGAGAAAGCCCAGCAGGAGCCGCATTGACCCTGATCCTTGATTTCGTTAACGATTCCCTTTGTGCGCCAGTCAACAGAAGCAGCAGCAACATTGTCGAGTTTAACATACTTCCTTTCGCCGGTGTATGGCTTTTCTCCAAGAAGAACTTTGTACTCATTTGGTGTAAGATGAGCAAGATGGTTTAAGGCAACCTTGAATGACTTTCCGGCAGCATTGTGTTGCTCAACATAACGCTTGTTGCTTAAGAAAATACCAAGTCTGAAGTGGTATTCATGAGAGGTTATCGATTTTGTAATTTAATCGTCGTCGTTATCGATTTTGTAATTTAATCGTTATCGTCTTTTTCTAAACGTGCATTTTTACATTAAAAGCAATGCAACTCCAAAATTAATTGGTATTTAGACTTTAATTAGGTGCAGACAAACAAAGTGCAGTCCAAATATTTTGGTGATATATGAATTACATAAATTTAGGTAAATTGAAATTATATCTTTTTAAATTTTTAGGAAAACAGATTTATAGAATTGTTTATGTCATCAAAATAATGCAGACTTAGGTCAAATTTTCCAAATTTAATCATTTGCAAGACTTTCAAGCGACTTCAAAATGTCGAAATATAAGTCCAAAAATAAAATTACGATTACAGTCTATCCTCAATTATTATCACGCTAATTATTGAGTGACCCATGCGTTCGTATGTATGTAATACCTTTTAAAAAGGAGATGAGAGAGATAAACTACATTTACAATTTAAATCTGATGTATTTACTTGTTACATTTACAAATGTAAATGTTTCTCGTAATGTTTACATTTTGTAAGTATAACGAATAAAAATGACGCACTTTTTTTACAAAGTCAAATTATGCGATACAACTTTACTTGTTACATTTACAAATGTAAATGTTTCTCGTAATGTTTACATTTTGTAAGTATAACGAATAAAAATGACGCACTTTTTTTACAAAGTCAAATTATTGTTCGATTTTTGCAGCTTGTAAACGATTAATTGTATAAAGTAATTGATATTAGCACGACATAACTGAATAATTCTAATATTGAAATCAAAAGCCCTTAAAATATCATGATATTTTAATTTCATAACAAATCTAGGAGACTATTTGATGAAAACATAATACTCTTTGAAGTTAAGTATTTTCACAAAGAGAGGACCAACAATATCAAAAGATTGAATAAAGATTTGTATTATTTTATTTATTTTTAAGAACATGTTTAAGAACCCTCATTATCTCCACGAATATTGCATATTTTTCTATTCTAAGACCACCAAAATTACGTTTTAATATAGAAAATAACATATTTATGTGATGCTAAAGTCGAAGTCCTTAAAAAATTAGTGTTAAACATCCATTTATTACAAAATTGAAGAAATATGTGTAAAATATAACACATAATTTAGTTATTTGACTCAATTATTAGTTATGCAATATCAGTTGTGTTTATATCTGCGTTATATCAAGAGATGCATTGAATTGTCATAATTAGATCACCGTAAATCTTATCAATTTTTGATACACTTCCGGTGAAAAATTTAGCCTTGACAATAGGATGAAATATATTGTAAAAAAATAAATTTTAGATTTTGAAGTTTATCATTTCGAATAATGAAATATAAACAATATACAAATTTTCTGTCGTTTCGAGATTCATAAATGATCGGAATCTTCCAGCTCCGACTGAAATAGAACTTTCGGAAGCTAATTTTCAAGGAGAAAGGGACAAACTATCCAGTGTCACTTTTCAAAGGAATAAAAAAATAATAAAGATGAAATAATAACATGAAATCTTATATAAATATAATTTTATCTAAATAGATAAATGAATTAAGCAGTTTACAGTTATATATATTTAATGAGAGACAATATCTAGTTCTATGGTAGAAATGACTCTTAGACTCAAATAAGTAACACAGATAGAAAGTACTCAGTATAACAATTATATATGTACACTCAAAGTTAGTCGCTGCTAAAATCTTAACCTTGCATTTCGGGAAAATCTGACTAATGGCTCTTAGACTCAAATAAGTAACACAGATAGAAAGTACTCAGTATAACAATTATATATGTACACTCAAAGTTAGTCGCTGCTAAAATCTTAACCTTGCATTTCGGGAAAATCTGACTAATGGCTCTTAGACTCAAATAAGTAACACAGATAGAAAGTACTCAGTATAACAATTATATATGTACACTCAAAGTTAGTCGCTGCTAAAATCTTAACCTTGCATTTCGGGAAAATCTGACTAATGGCTCTTAGACTCAAATAAGTAACACAGATAGAAAGTACTCAGTATAACAATTATATATGTACACTCAAAGTTAGTCGCTGCTAAAATCTTAACCTTGCATTTCGGGAAAATCTGACTAATGGCTCTTAGACTCAAATAAGTAACACAGATAGAAAGTACTCAGTATAACAATTATATATGTACACTCAAAGTTAGTCGCTGCTAAAATCTTAACCTTGCATTTCGGGAAAATCTGACTAATGGCTCTTAGACTCAAATAAGTAACACAGATAGAAAGTACTCAGTATAACAATTATATATGTACACTCAAAGTTAGTCGCTGCTAAAATCTTAACCTTGCATTTCGGGAAAATCTGACTAATGGCTCTTAGACTCAAATAAGTAACACAGATAGAAAGTACTCAGTATAACAATTATATATGTACACTCAAAGTTAGTCGCTGCTAAAATCTTAACCTTGCATTTCGGGAAAATCTGACTAATGGCTCTTAGACTCAAATAAGTAACACAGATAGAAAGTACTCAGTATAACAATTATATATGTACACTCAAAGTTAGTCGCTGCTAAAATCTTAACCTTGCATTTCGGGAAAATCTGACAAATGGCTCTTAGACTTGTTTTGATAATTAATTCTTCAATTATATTATAATTTATAACAAATTTCCTCAAACTATCTGTATGTCATTCAATTCCCGGCCACTACATTCAATAATGGACCATTTCCTTCAAATTTTGAAATACCTTATTCAATTTGTTGTATGGAGCCCGTGATATTCAACACTATGGAGCTCCTCCAGTTTGGTATCCAAGAAGAGATAAAAGCTAGCATGGGCTACTCTCAAAAATGCTTAAAGCAATATATTCAAGTTTGCAACAAGGATCAATAGATTCAAATCTTGTTTATTGTACTTTAAAGGTACTTTTAAAAAAGAAACAATTAATGTAAAAGATTCAAATAATTTTTTATTATTATTTTATTAATTTTTTAAAATAAGGTTAATAAAAAAGTGACACTGGATAGTTTGTCCCATACTCATTTTCAAGACGAATCTTCTTTATTAAGATTTATTTTGGATATCCCTAAGGATTTAAGCTTTTCCATTGACTCATATTCAATGAATCTTTTGATACATTTCATTATCGAGCAATCTACACAAAATGAAACAATATTAAAATTCACAATTCAAAATATCACTTCTTCGAATATCTTTCAAATAGATTTGATACTACTGGAAAATTTATTCGAATATTTATCGCATTATATTAACCAGATTTTTTTTCATTTTTTCATTAAAATTAATTCATTTTAAAGCTTTAGATAACATACAATACCTTTATTTATCAACATTTTCCGATCAATATGATGAGATATTACGTTTCATAAGCAGCAGTGACAATTCTCTCTATATCATCGATACATTTATTGCTTTGATTAAAAACAATATTCTTGACGTTGAATTCTTCCAAAACGCAGTTTTACTCAAGAAAGAAATTTTTTCTAGTATTATTGAGTACGAAAATCAATATTCAACTTATGCAATTGCAAATTTCTTTACAAAATTATTAAAATATTACCCAGGATATGCAACTGCTCTTCCATGTTCGGATATACTAATATCAAATTATTTCAACTTTTTTAATGACATGAATTCAATTATAAATAACGAAGATTTTGTTTATCTTCTCAAATTTATAGTTTTATTTTATAAAGCAGTCGATATAACATCTGAGATGGCTTTAGAATTCATAAAAACACTTGAAATTCTGCGAAGTCTTTCTCCTCACTATTCATTTACAGAGTATGTAGTTCAGGGGTATTATTGTGTACTTCCTCTTATACCCATGCAAATTTATCTACCGATTTTTTAAATTCACATGAATTTTTAATTAATTATGCAATTGAGAATTCAAATCTTCACAAATATTTGAAATTATATTCCAGATGTTTCCGCAGATTTGATAGCGATGAAATATTCAAAAATGTTTTTCATATCTTAAACCTTGTAGAAGTTACAACAGAATATTTATCAGAAAATCAGGATCTTTCTGAGAAACAGATCTTTATTTGCAACGATATCCTAACGAGGGTTAATTTAATTTAATTTTTATTTTTTATTTCAAGTTTGAGTAAACTTTCAAGATAATCTATATAAGCCTTTTGATGTTCTTCATCTAGATTCTTGTTTAATATGTGATGAATTTGATTTTTTTTTGAAAATTCAAGATAAAATTCTTTTTTATCTTGATCAACAACATGAACAATTCGAGTACAGCGTAACATTTCATCAATATTTTCTGTTTTCTTCGTTTCTAGATATTTTTCAAATATTTCTTGCGGAATCTCATTTTGATATACCCATTTATTTTTTTCCGGATGCTGATCTTTGTACTTAACGAAATATTGCTTGACTATTCGCTCAGAAACAACATATTCGATCTCTTTTCTCTTTCTCATTGAATATTTGTGACACTTTTGAATTCAATCAAATCAAAAATATTTGAAATTGCTAGAATTTTTTTTCTTTCTCATGAATATTTGAAATGACTCAAAAGGAAAACTCGTTCGATT